AACACTAAAGACATAGTGACACAGACACACACACACAACTATGCACTGTTGCTCAGTCTCATAAGCTCAAACATAAACCGTTAAACATACACACAGGCAAATACGCTCACTCACTCACACCCACTCACGTAATCATTCACTCACATCCACTCACGACTCACGTAATTATTCACTCACACTGTCACTGTCAAGCTCACATAGGGTAAGTGTGCTGGCTAAAACTTGAAAAAATTGTAAGATTCGGTCTATCAAGGCGACATTAACGTCTTAGAATAATTAAACGCTTAGTTTAAATCTAAGTGTAGTCAAATTCGAAATAAATAAACGAAATGAGTCTTTAGTAAAGTTAGGTATGCCTCGTGAAAACAGCAATACTCTGAGGGATTGTGAGGCTGAGACATTGCCTATATATAATCCTCTCGGTACTGTTTTCGCCGATGTGATTTTATTTATCTTTTCGTTGTTCGATCGAATTCGAAAGACTCTTAAAATCCTATCTTTAGAAGAAGAAAAAAAAGCAAAAAGAAAAAGATATGTATTCTTAGATCGACTCAAAACACAATGTAACGGTGAACTTAGTTTTATTTCTTCGATTGCTGAATAAACGTCTACCTTAGCAGAATGAACTTCTTGAATGAACTAAACCACGTATTTATACTATATCCGAAGGATTTTCTTGAGAATCCTGCCTCCAATCAAATCGTGTATCTTCTCAATTTCGAGCCTACAAGTACATTCAACATATATCGTCATCTGCCAACCTCCAGCTTATATTACCCCGCACTTCGGTTCGCAAAGCATCAATCATACAGCAGCCTCCTCTTCTTTCGAGCCTGCGCGGCCGTTCGCCAACAAACCGCACAATACAACTTAGAACTTTTCAAACTTATTAGTTTTCACACATAAGTTATCGCCCACACTTTAGGAGTTCTCGCACTCTTATTAACGCCCAGCAACATTACCGAACAGTTCGTTACTTACAACACCAACATTGTTTTAAATCGGAAGTAAACATGGTTGACATTACACCTCCCCAATGAACAAGACACTAGTGTCGAGTTCATTCATTCAACCATTTACTCAACTGCTTCTTCCGCAAAATCGGATCCCTCGCAACCTGGAAGAACATCTGCAACTTGTTCCACCTGTTATTATTGAAGTGATGCTTCATAGCCAAATCCAAAGTATCTTCTACCACGCCCTTACTCTCACCTCGCTTCGCCGCATCGACTATCGTATCAACATATATACCAAAAGCTGAACTCATGGCATATAACCAAGTCCTCCCCATTTTTGTTGATCGCAATACTGCCACCATTTCATCAAATTCTGTAACACTAGTTGCCCCTTCACCAGTATAATTGTAGAGCCAGATTAAACAAGCTTCACTCCTACGCATTCTAATACTGGCCTCATGCTTCGAATCCTTTAACCTCACCTTAAGCTGATCCACATATATTGACTTAACCTTCCCATTAATTCTGACCTTGTACATCCCTTGTAGGTGTTCCCTCATAACAATCGTGCCTCTCACTAAATAGGTTTTTGCCAACTTACTATCCTTCGACCTACCAGTATACCAAACCAACTGCCCCGGCTGCCAATCTGGTGCCTCTTTTCTATTCTTGTCTGCCGCCTTTGCCTGCGCCTCCTTCGCTACTTCATCTCTGATGGCCACCGATCTATCCCGCACAGCAGCTTCACTCAGAAGCTCAGAACCTATCACCTCTAACAACTTCGCCAGAATTACTCTATCAACCTGCCCCGTATAATACCGGTCCGTAACATAATAGTATGGGCTGATACCCATGGCCGAATTTACTGTCGCATTGTACGCCAACATAATTGAATATATATATGCTGGCCATAAGGTTTCCTCCCCAACCGGCAAGCTCTTAGCAAGCCAATCCATAATCGTAAGCAAGACACTCTCTGCCCTACCATTGCCCTGATGCCTATTTACTGATACGTAATGGCATTCTGTACCTCTCTCTGCCCAGAAAATTTTCATATCTGCTGAAGTACCTTCTGAGCTGTACCCCAAGGCAACACTTGTTGTTGAACAAACTCTAATACCCCTTTAGTATTCTTCTGTTCCAACGTGTATGGCCGACACCACACCATCCTCGAAAAATGATCTATGGCCACTACTATACCTTCGAAACCGTGAACTGTCCTTGGCAAGGTCAAATGATCCATGCCTATACACACTGCAACCCCTTTCGGCCTCTCAGGCTGCATTAACAACCCTGACCTCACCTTTGGTTTTATACCTAAGGTGTTTGTGCTAGTGTTCAGCTGCTTGGGCTGGCCAGGGTAAAAACTCATATGGTCAGTATGAGAAACCTTATGCGGAACACTTTAACACTTCGATGCTTTTCTATTTCAACTTCTCTGCAACTAAATATCACGCTGATCACATGATGCCTTTCCGCATAGGTTGTGACCCACATAGAACCGCAGCTATTATTAATATGTTGTGGTTGACAGGCTTAATCCACTCTCGGGAATCAGTTGAGAAACTAAGTCTGCTTTCGGAAGTCGGTTAAGTAGTAACTCAACTCTTGAGAGTAATTTGAGCAACTTTATTAGCTCTCGGGAGTGAGCTAACTCTGATGACTTAGCTCT